ATAGCGCAGTGTAGTGTAGCGGACCACTGTTGCTTCTACTAAAAGTACTGCTTTCACTTGTCTTGGAATGTCTGCTCAGATTAATTTAGGATTAGCTAATGATTGTGACAGATATCAAGCAGGTTTTTATAATAAAGATGAAAACTACTTTGGAGATCATTTCTACTATTTGTTTTGTACTGCAGCTTTTTTGTTGTCTTTCTTTTTACTTTTCTAACCTGTTTTTGCAATTCTGATTACTACTTGGCACAATTTTAAATATTCCAGCTTTGCTTGATTGTTAAGGCCCCATTTGGCCATCCGTAATTTGTAATTTTGAGTCAAGGTTTGGCAGGAGCTTGTGCAAAAAATTTCGATTGTTTGATATCACATGGTTCAAATCCGCACCAAACCTTAGCCAAATCACAAATTGTGATTTGCGGCCAAACGGGGCCTAAATTCTTTGAATTATAAATTATAACCAATCAGAACCCACATTTAACAGATTTTCAGAGCCTTAATGATGATATAACATGGTCCTCAAAGAGATGGTTGAATTGCTTGAGTTTCCCATATTCATTTGAAATGAATCAAAAACTGCTGCACAGCTGGAAAAAATCCATCCTCAACAGAATGTTATAATATATATTTTAGAAATTATTCTCCTGGTCACCTCCATTGAACTAATCAAGAAGCCTGTAGATTGAAGTAACTCATTCATTGAAATATGAGTGACTGAGTAGGAACTACTTGAAAATTGTGATAAAGATTGTCAATGCTCAAATTCAAATTTCCACCATAACCTTAGTATAATCTGTGTTCAGTCTCAGAACTCTAATAATGCATTACAGGTGTGCTCATTTATAATTAATGACAACATGATCCGCAGCAACACCTATATCATTTTCCTTATTATTGTTGTAATTGATGATAATATAATTCATAATAACCTCTGTTCATCACAGTTTATAATTATTAATGATATTATTCACAGAAATACTTACATCATGAGTCTGACCTTAGTATTGTTTTAGTTAATGATAACATAATTATCATTATAACCTGTGTTGATCAAGTATTTAAAAGGAAATTCAAATACTTGAAGTTGATTCTTGATCTAACATGTGCTATGTGAAATTTATAATATTATCAGAAATTGCAAAGGAATCAAATTCAAAGTATATGGTTTAATTCCTTAGTTTAGATCATAGAATTTGAATCCTGTTCTCAGAATGACCTCTCCATTAACAAATACTGAATTCAATACAATTTGATGATTCAGGGAGCATATGAATAATTCAACTATTTTTCACTAAACCTTTCATCAACGGTGGGCCGCTACACTAACCGTAGCGGTTAGTGTAGCGTAACGCAGCGAAATTGCTGTTAGCGCTTAGCGTAGCGTAGCGGGATTCTGCCAGGACACCGCTAACGCTACGCGTGTGGGCCCCAAAAAAGGGCCCACTACGCTGTGCTACAGCGCTTTTTAGCGGTTTTTGGCCACTTTTTCCGCTAAAAGCGCTGTAGCGCAGCGTAGCGTAGCAAAAAACCGCTAAAACACCACTAACACTACGGTTTTTGGATGAAAAAAAAGTGCCGCTACGCTACGCTTTTTGGGCCAAAAGCGTAGCGGCCCACCGCTGCTTTCATGACTGATGTGATGAAGCCTTTCTGTATCAGGGGGCTTCAAAGTTGATTTTTGAACACTGTTCTACACAAAATCATAAATCTCACCAAAGTTTTGAGAAGTGTTCCAAACAGAGAAAAATTTGAAGTTCCAGAAAACTGAAATTTTGATCCTCTTGAGCTTATGATTTCATGTAGAATGCCGTTTAAAGATCAAGTTTGAATCCCACTATCATCTGCAGATTTACTGAAATATGAAAACAACACCCAAGCTTCCCAGGCTATTTTCTTGAATTAATGCACCATAAAATCATAAATGGTGGAATTGATGGTTTTGATCCCCACATACATGCAATTAATCAATTACTTGCATGTATCTCATATTTGGAGTATTGGACCCATTGTCTTCTGGATGAATTTGGTACTAATACCTCTTGATTACATCCATATTTGCAATGCCAGTGCATGCACAATCTCAATTCAACTTCAAGAAACCCCAAAGTAAATTTAAATATTTAACGTTTTGAGTATTTGATCCAATGTCTTATGGATGACATTTGTACTAATCCTTCTTTATTTCATCATCTTGTTAGAGTTTGATAAAATAGTATAGATTAGGGGGTATCAAATATAGGAAATCCACCATCAGAAACCAGTCACTTTTCCAAAAACTTTTTTTTGCATAAATGGGCACCAAAAGGGTTTAAATGGATAACCAACATGTTTAAAAAAAGGTGGATTTTTTCAAACCAGTCAATTAAATAATGGTGGATTTGGTTATATTTGATACCCCCTATTTTAGATTAAGATTGAAAAAAGATGGTGAGAGAGATGTGTGTATGCTGATATAATACTTGTTAAAAAATAGGATTGAGATTTTGAAAGGGGTACAGAGGAGGCATCAATTTGTTATTTTATATTTTGTTGATTTACAAGTTTTTGCTTGTGAATGCTTGCACCAGCATTTCCTATTTTTTTTCTTTTATGTAATTGGTCAATTTTTCCTTTTGTTATTTTATGAGTTTTTGGTTTGTACTTTTTTTATGTTTGGATTTTTATATTTTTGTATATTTTTTTTCTTATTTTATCTCTTTTCCACTTTGAGATTTTTAGATTTTTTTTAGTTTTCTATTCTTTGAGTTTTTTCTGATTGACATTTCTGTTTTTCTTTGGAGTGAAGAGTCTCCCTGACCTGACACGTCACAGCCAAGTCCAATCCAACAATCAACTCACTTACCCCAACAACAACCACCGTCACAGCCCACTTGCTTACCCCAACAACAACCACCAAGTGAAAAATCAAGGCCAACATGTCAAGCCAACCTACCCCATCTTCCATGTCAAACCAGTCTGGCAATGTAAGTGATGCCACGGAGGGGCCAACCTGTCAATCCGCAAGAGTCATTACCCCCATGAAGCAATCAGGAATGATTCAACCTTCACCCAATTCCCATCAATCAATCACCCAGCCCCTCCTTTCAGAGAGAACATCCATTGAAACCAGTAGTCAACCAAAAAAAAAAAAAACCAATGCCCCCTCTGAATCAGATTCAACCCATCAAGCTACTCCTATTTAGTCTCAGAAAACACGCAAGAAACCTACCAAAAAAACCCCAAAAAAACCAGCCCATCTGCTGCAAATTGTGAATTGAACACTACTGCCAAGGACTTTGATCTTGTTCAAGACTCTGACAAAGAAAATTCTCAAGTCAAAAAACACCAACAAAAAAAATCCAGAAGAGGATGATGTCAAAGATTTCTTTTCTAAACCATTTTGTCGTCAAGATGATGTAAGTCTAAACAATGTCATATAACTCTGTCCATGAATCAAAATTGATTTTGTTTTTTGTTTTTAATTTTTTTTTGGAGCCGGCCAATAAACCTCCGTCAACCTATAGCTGTTTGTGGTGTAGGAAAGATGTCAGGGTTTCAGTGTCCAGTCTTTCCAATCTTTGTGTGAATCGTGATGGCTCTCATCAAAGTGGAAGGGTCTCGAATGGATGCCCCAATTGTCCTAAAGCTATCACCGCTGGAGCCAAACTTCCACCTACCTCCCTTGAAGAAGAATTGAGATGGAGACTTAATGACTCATTTTGTCAGAGTGGAAAAGTTCAACAATACTATCTTCAACCAAATCATAGTTTTGTGGCTGTTATGTCAGGCAATACCTTGAAATCAAGTGGAAGACCCATACCTAAAATTGGTGTTTAATTACTGTGAACCAGCTGCAATCCTCTTCAAATGAAAATGGGCAGCAACTGCTTCCAGGAAGGCGTATCTGGAATTGCAAGAGGCAATGCTTTATTGCTTAAAAGTAAGTAGTCTATTCCCAATAATCATGCAGAAGGGTTTACTTAGATTGTTCATCTTATGTACAGTGGGTGGACGGTTATTTTTGGCTGCTTGTTTTGGATTCCAGATCTTCAAAGCACAAACTTAAATTCACAAGAATTGGTGAGGTGGTGAAGAATAGGTCCCAAAGAATGAATATGAAAAAATAAAAACAAAAAATAAAGTTTCAAAATCTGTGAAAAATAAAACATAAATATCTTTTTCCAAAAGCTCTGATATTCATTTTGGGGGAGTGGGAGCACTGGAAGAAAGAAAGAAGGGAAAATGGGAAGAATGATTATAGATGAAAATTTTGTAAAAAAGGGTCACCGGGTGGTTCTAAACAACTATTGAGTAGCACATTCACCAGCCTATGTTGTGGAAAAGCACTAGAATTTACTGTTTTGACTCTAATCTGAACAACCAACCTGGCTTAACCTTTTTTGGTTCCAATTTTTTTTTCATTTGTAATCATTCTTGCCATGTTCCACTCTTTCTTTCTCTAAGCACTCCCACTCCCCCAAAATCAATAACAAAGCTTTTGGAAAAACCCATTTTTGTTTTTTATTTTTCACAAATTTTGAAACTTTGTTTTTTCATTTTTCTTTCTTCTTATTCATTTTTTGGGACCTATTCTGCACCATTTTATCAAGTCTTGTGACTTGAAGGTTGTGCTTTGAAGCTGTAGAATCCAAAACAAGCAGCCAAAAATAACGGTCCACCCACTGTACCCTCAGGCAGCTGATAGCAAATTTTGTTTAATCCATGACGTATGGACAACCAAAGTAAATTGCTATGGATTCATTGGTGTATTGGTATCTTTTATTGATAACAATTGGAATCACGTAGTGCTTCATCTGAGCATCAAGTTGGTTTCCAGGTTACATCAAGGAAGATATTTAGCCAAACCAATTATAAACATATTGAAGAAGCATCAACTCAGCAATAAGATAAGTAATCTCAACTGGTGATCCATGTTCATAATCAAAGGCCAAAACTATTTTTTTTCTTCTTATATATACATGCTTTGTCAGACCACTGATTCTAGATCAAATAACATGACCATGGCTGAAACCATGCACGAAAAACTGCTTGATCTGGCAGAAAACTGTTGTGAGCTGTGGAGGACTGGAACCAGGGATGTTACATATGTAGAGAGCCTTCTACGTACATGTCACAAAGTTTGAACTTGGAGTTTGTTTGAGATCCACACCTTGTACATTCCTCATCTTGCAATCTACCATCAAGAACCAGAACCCAGAAGATCCCTCCTGCTCTCCCCAGAACACCCATAACATATTGCAAGATCAACTCACACGGAGACCAGGACAAAAACACCCAGAACACCTCCCCTCAAACCTTGAAAATTGACCCCAAAAACTCACCTCTCAAACCTTGAAACTTACTCCCCTACCTCTCTCACACCCTCACAGTACCCCTAAGGACCCCTCTAGGACCCTCAGGAGCCCCTCTGTGGCCCTCATCCGTTGTTTGGATTTTGAACCCTGGATCGTCATCGGACAACCCTCAGGACCCTTGGAACTGTCGTTGGACCCTCAGAATCGCCTCAGGGACCTTGGATCGCGCCCAGGAGCCTTTGGACGCAGCCCAGAAGACCCCTAGCCCTCCTGCTGCCGTTGGATTGTCATCAGACGACCCCTAACGGCCCACTGCTTGCTTAGAACCCCCCCACACCCTCCTGACGCCCCAAGAGGCTCGGAACGCGCCTAGAATCCCTAGGACTTCACCCAGAGGCCCCCAGACCGTCCAATCCCACCGGATCGTTGTCGGGCAACCTCAAAAGGCCCCAGAGACCCCTAGACGCCCCGAAGTGCCCCAACGCTCCAAAGCGCTTCTGCAAACCCTGGACGCCAACAGAAGCCCCAGAGAGGCCTTGAAGCCCCCAGCAACCCCCTAGAGCCCCCAGCAACCCAACAGAGAGCCCCAGAGTGCTTCAAAGCCCCAATAGGCCCCTCAGAACGCCCCAGAGTCCCCTCACCACCCCAGATAACCCCGAGAACCGCTGAAAGAACCCCTGACCCCCTCTGAGAAACCCCAAACACCCCTTCAAACCCAAAGGAGGACACCCAGGCCCCCCGTGAGAACCCCTGAACCCCCAGAAAACCCCTGAAACACCCCAAGACCCCCAAGAAATTCCCCGAACACCTAGACCACCCCCTGAAAGACCCCAGAAACCCCCCATGAAGACACCCCAGACCCCCGAAGAGAGCTCACACAAGCCTTTTGCCAAGGCTTAAAAGTACAAAAGTAAGCCTCCACAATTTTAGTTGCACCTTCCAAAGTCACTACACACCGTCAAAGCATTACCTGCCACTCTGTGAGCCGCCCCGTACTGTTTTGCTATGGACGCCAAACTCGCCAAGGTCCAGGCGCAACTGACAAAACTCATGGACATGGTCAAGGAGGAACGCAAGTTCCGGAAGGAGGCGGAGGAGCGTTTAGCCAGGAAAGAGGCCCAATTGGCAAAGGCCCTGAAGACCACCAACAATCAACCGCAAGCACCAGCCCTGCCGGCCAAAGGCCCTAAGATTGGCGTCCCCAACAAGTTTGATGGCACCCGCGGAGCTAAAGCGGAGGTTTTCATAAATCAGGTAAACCTCTATGTCCTGGCCAACGGACACCTCTTTGGCACCGACTGCGCCATTATGGTATTTGTGTTGTCCTACCTGACTGGACCGGCTAGCTCTTGGGCCCAACTGTGGATGAAGAAAGTGATTATGAAAGACCAGAGGAGCGTGATGAGCTGAGATTGAATGAGATGAGAGAACAGCAAGGCAGAGAAAAGACAAGCACCTGCAGATGGTGTGGGCGGACAAATGAGCAGAGAGATGAGTGAGGAAAGAAAAAGAAGAAATAAAAGCTCGGAACTATGCTAGATCTATATACAACATTTGGTGAAACCTAAGTTGGAGATAGACTAAGTTCCGCAGTGTTTCCACCTCACTAAACCCCTTGCTTCTGTCCGCAGTTTGTGCTGGCTTGCTTCATCTTCACAGTGATGAGCAATACTGAGGCTATCAGTAAGGACGAATTCAACACTCAGTTCACCGCCATGTACTGCAACACCAAGAAGAAGACCAAGGCTAAAGCAGCCCTCTGAGCACTCAAGCAGACCAAGTTGGTATCTCACTACACCCACCAGTTCAACCTGCACACCCACAACACCATCTGGGCTCCCGCCGTCCTTGTCAGCCAGTACAGACAAGGCCTGCAATCCCAAATACGCCCGATGTTGCTGATGGCTCGGACTGAATTCCCTGAACTTGCCGTCATTGCCACCCTGGCCCTGCAGATTGACAATGAACTCCACGGCCTAGCCCCCACTGAGACGGCCAATGCCCCGGACCTCAATGCAATCGACTTATCAGTCATGTGTGGCTGCCTTTTGGATGCAGAGAAGACCAAGATGATGCGAGCGGGCCAGTGCTTCCAATGCGGGAACCAAGGCCACATCTCGAGGGATTTCCCGGACCGTGGACAGAAGGGGAAAGGGAATGAGAAGTCCCGGATCGCCGAACTCGAAGAAGAGGTCAAACAGTTGAAGGCAGGAGGCAGTAGAGCGGAGCCGTCAAAATATGGAGGAGCTCAGGAATGAAGTATGTGCCTATCCGGAGCAGTGGAGAGTTGTTTGTTGTCAGCATTGGCGCCAGTGAAATTTTTTCAAGAAATCAAATTCATCCGCGTTTACTTATTTCTTTGCCCATTGTGCCACCCAAACACTTTCAATCCACAACCCCATTGCCACTCCCTCCTGCTACTTTTCTCATTGACTCTGGAGCAACCCATGACGTGATTGGCAAGTCTTATGCCAAGTCCATGGGACTCCTTGATATTGCCAGACCCTCCAACGTACCATCTCTGGTTTTGACAGTTCCTCAATCTGTTCTTCCTCTGATATCCACTTGACTCTCAACACCGAACCATCTCCTTCCCCATTCATCATCACTCGCCTGAAAGACTCTTTCAATGGAATACTTGGAATGCCTTGGATCCGTAAGAATGGACACCTTATTGAGTTGGCTGACCAAAAATTCAAGAAAACCCCACAGGATTTTGCAGCTGTCAATGCAGCTTTGTCAATTCCAAAAAAACCCTCACCTGATGGCGTGGAGCCCGTGAGGCAAGCTAGGATTTTTGACAAGGGGGTGTGTGTCTCTGACACGTTGTGGATTTACTCTTGGGATGAATAGAGCTTGAGAGGGATGGATGCTTTAATGGGCTGCCTCTCTGATAACAAGGAAATATTCTTAAGGAAAAGGGTGTGGCTGAGGAGCTTTCTTGAGAATGGTATGTCTAATATTTTTTATGTTTACTAGTCTAAATATACTTGTTCACAAATCAAGGTATCCCAAATGTTGATGGGCACCTGGCTAATAATGGGTGATCAGTTATCTGAATTGCTGGGGCAGGCTCTGATGAGGAACAAATGAAGAGGAAAAAAAAATCTCCTTATATACAAAAATTCTGGGGAGTGGCCAGCTTGTGGTTGGAAAATATGTGGAACATTCTATGAAAAGTATGAAACAAGGGAAAATATTTATCCAGAGAAAACAGGGGAAACAAGCAGTGGGAAAATGCTCCCAAGGTTACTAGTGTGAAACAAATAAGGGGCAGAATATTCCATGGAAGAAAATAGGAGGAGATAACAGTTTCATGGACAAGGGGATTGTTACTAGTGTGAGACACCAGGGGGAGGAAGAATGGAATTGTTTGGAGGGGAATGAGTTTCAAGGGTGTGGAGTTTCTGGTGGGATGACAGGGTGAAATTATAGGGCCTTAATAAAAAAACGTGGTTTTTCCGCGTTTTGACACGGTTTTGCTGTGGCACAGCGCACGCAGTTTCCGCGTTTAGACGCGGTTTTTGAATTGATTTTTTTTTGCCACTAATTTCAAGTTTTTTTAATTTTTTAAAATTGTTTCCTAGGTTATAAAATGTGTAGAATTTAATGGTAAAGTCAATTTTCCATAAAAATGACTTTTGATTATTAATTTTTTTTTCCACTCATTTTTCCATTAATTGTATGCATTACTTTTTTTACCTTATTTTTCAAGTTTTTTTGTAATTTTAAATTTATTTCCTAGGTTTCAATGTGTGTAGAATTGAATGGTGTAATTCAATTTTTTTAAAACTCTACGGTTCATTTTAATACTGAAATTAGACACATTTTTTCACTTAAATTTTTACAGGTTAATTTTCATTCTTTTTTGATATTTTAAATTTTTTTCCTACACTTTAAGACATTTATAAAGTTATGGTAAAAATCATTTTGCATCAAAATGAGAAATACATCTTGTATACTGCATTTGACACCGTTTTTTCATTTAATTCTTTACTTTTTTCACTTAATTGTTTGCATTAATTTTTTTACCTTATTTTTTATGCTTTTTTAAAAGTTTACAGTTGTTTCCTACATTTAAAAGTGTTTAGAATTTAATGGTAACATTCAATTTCCATAAAACTAAACGGTTCATTCAGAATACTGTAATTGGTCTTAAACTTCAATTGATTTTTAAGAGCTTAATTTTCATTATTTTTTGACATTCTAAATTTTTTTGCCACACTTTGAGACATGTTCAAAATGATGTTAAAAATCACTTTGCATAAAAATGAAAACTATATCTTGAATACAAATATAAATTCAAAAGTTCAAAAATGACTTCAATGGGGCTTGATTGAACCTGTGACAGCGCTTGGAAGTACAAGTATTCCCAAAATGGTATCTTTGTACCAAGTTTTATTCATAAACTAGTTGGCTGGCATCACCTTGTTGGATAGTATGGTGGTACCTGTCCAGGCTGATCATAATCTTGACTAGAGTCTGCCTTGTGCATGGGAATCTGGAGAAATGATTGATGTATCCCTGTCCAATGATTAGGAGTGTTCTTTTTCACAGTTTTTTTTTAATTTTTGGGAGACATTTGAACCAAATTCTCTTTTTATTTTATTTAAACCTAGGAAATAAAGAATTAAATAAAAAAACGGTGTCAAATGCAGTATACAAGATGTGGTTCTCATTTTGATGCAAAATGATTTTTACGATAACTTTAAACATGTCTTAAAGTGTAGGAAAAAAAATTAAAACGTCAAAAAATAATGAAAATTAACCTGTAGAAATTTAAGTGAAAAAATGTCAAATTTCAGTATTAAAAATGAACCGTTGAGTTTTGAGAAGATTGGATGTTACATTTAAATTGTACACGTATTAAAACCTAGGAAATAATTTTAAAATTTCAAAAAAACATAAAAAATAAGGTACAAACATGTAAGCACACAATTAATAGAAAAAATGAGTGGGAAAAAAAAATTAATAATTAAAAGTCATTTTTATGGAAATTGGACTTTACCATGAAATTCTACATGCTTGGAAACCTAGGAAAAAATTTTAAAAATTCAAAAAAACTCAAAATTAATGGTAGAAAAAAATTAATTACGAAACTGCGTTTAAACACGGAATCCGCGTGTGCTGTGCCGCAGCAAAACCACGTCAAAACGCGGAAAAACCGGGTTTTTTTATTAAGGCCCAAATTCTATTATCCAGGTGGCCTGTGCTTGAGGGATTCATGAGTGGTGTCTTGATTTGTTTGAGGGTCTGGAGAGCTTTCTGGGGTGTCTTGATCCTGTGATTCCTCTGTCAATTGTACTCTTGCTGTGCTTGGATTTTCAGGATTGGCTTACCACATCCACCCCCAAATTAGATGATGTCCCCATCATCCAAAAAGAAAAAGAGAAAAAGACAATCCTGATGATAACTGAAAGATATATTCTAGAAAAAGAAACTGGTCATAACTGTGGAAATTTATGGTTTGTAAGATATAGTGCCCAAAAAAAGAAAAGAAATAAAAAATGTATGGTTTGTATATGTAGAGGAATTATATTTGTACTTTTATCTTATTTAA